TTTGAATTTATTTTTGCTAGTTCTGTTGTATTAATAAGTTTCATTGGTTTTGCTGTTGTTTTATTAATTAAGAGAATTAAGAGAATTAATAATAATAATAAATATATTGAGAATAGATTCGCTATGTTATTTTTTAAATCGGATTTTTTAAATATGAATATTGGACCTTTTGGTATTTTATTTATTTATGGGATCTTTAATTATAATATTGATTTGAATATTTTATTGGGAATTTACAGTTGTATTTTCATTTTATTATTGATTTTATCTAGCGATACTGTACTTGAATGGTTATTTAAAATCCAACAATTTATTGTTTTAATTAATAAGGCTATTGATGATACCTTTAGTACCCAATGTGATAGTGATAGTGATAATAGTGTTAATAATTATTATAATAGTGCTAACTTTATTGTTAAAGATTTGGATAAAGTTTTTGTTAGAGCTAATGCTAATGCTAATGCTAATGAGAATTTGAGAGGTTATACATTTTTCAGCCCCTGCGCCGGGGGACTTAGATTTAATTTATTATCTCAATTTAATGTTAAATTAAATCAAAATAAATTATTTTCTACAAGTAGTATAGTAAGTAAGTCTCGAGCTGATTCTATTCCGAATAACGCTAAGGGTTTAAATATTACAAGTAAAAAAAATGCTTTAAAGTTAAAAAATATATTTGGTGGTGGATATTTAGGTTATAAAAGTCACTTAAGTCTAGGATATTTAGATGAATTAATGAATGAAGATATTTTACAAACTAAAATTGAAGATTTCCTGAAAACTCTAAGTGATAATAGTACCTTTTCAGTTCTGGGTGTTATTAGATGGATTGATCATAATTCTGGTTATAGTCGTGGAATTACTATAGGAACCTCTTTAAAAATAAGTAAAAATGTCTCATCTTATTTATTAGCTAGAAAATATAAATTAGATATTATCTCAGCATTAACAAGATATGATGTAGATTCTAGTGACTGTGAATTAGTTTTAATGAATAGAAAATGGTTAGATCTAGAAGAATTTAAAGGAACATTAGCAGATATTACTCGAACAATAAATGAAGATCTAGAAAAAGGTCTTGCACGTGATGCAGATAAAGGGGATGAAATTAAAAAAAGAATAAATATGAGTTTATTAAATAATTATAATAATATAATTATGGATAAATACGGTGAAAAAATTATTGATAATAATCAAGTTATTTATAAAATAAATGCGCAAGAAGGTCTAGTAGTTAATAAACTGATTAACAAAATGGGAATAGAATATAACGAAGTTACTGTTAAAGAATTAGTTAAAGGTAAAGTTATTAATAATACTGAGAATGATTTTATAAAATGGACTGATACAAAACATAATAATGGGTTTATCAGAGAAATGGGTAAAATTAAACTATACTTTAATCAACTAGGCAGAATTTCTTTAATTGAGGGGGAATATTTAGCTGCAGATTTCCCAGTTACAGATATTGATTATCTTTATAATGATAAAATAGGGGCACTAGATTTTGAAACCTATGGAATAGAAGGAATGGGAAACCAAGAAGTATATGCTGGAGGATGGTCTACTGATAAATTATCAAATTTCGTTTATATTAATCCAGCTGAAAATAGTGATAATGTAGTAAAAAGAACTATCGAATCTATCTTTGAACATAAAGAATTAGATGGTTATACATTTTATGCTCATAATTTAGGTCGATTTGATTCCTTATTTTTAATTAAATCTTCAATATTAATGGAAGATATTAAAATTAAACCAGTATGGAAAGATAATACAATCATTTCAATCTCTATTAAAAATACTAAATTAAATAGAAAAATTAAAATATTAGATTCACTTCAATTAATAAATGGAAAATTAAGGGATATTTTAATTACATTTAATTGTATTGTTCAGAAAGATTACTTCCCTTACAAATTTGTTAACAAAGATAGATTATTTTATGTTGGAGACAAACCAGATATAAGCTACTATGAAAGCATACCTATAGAGGATTATAGTAAGATACCTGCGGTTTGGGATATTAAAAAACAAACATTGAAATATTTAGAATCAGATATTAAAGGATTATTAGAATTCTTACTAAAATTTAGTGGGGAAGTATTTAATAATTATAGTTTAAATATTACCAAATTTAGAACATTACCTGCTTTAGCTTTAGGTGTTTATACTTCATCCTTCTATGATGAAGACAAATATCAAATTAAAATGATTAAAGGTACAGTGGAACAAGATCTTAGAGATTCTTATTTTGGTGGTAATGTTGAAGTTTATATTAATGAAGTTTATAATGGTTATCTTTATGATATTAATTCCCAATATCCGAATGCTATGTTAAAGGATATGCCTGTTGGTAACCCAACTTATACAACAGATAAAAATCTTAAAAATATATTTGGATTTATCTTTGGTAAAATTACAGCTCCTTCTGTTGAAAGTTTAAAAGTACCCTTTATTCAATATAGAGATCCAGCTACCGGAACAGTCTCATGCCCTAGAGGAAGCTTTTATAGAATGATATTTAGTGAAGAAATGAAATATGCGCAAAAATATGGTTATATTATAGATATTCAATATGGTTATAAATTTGAAAGAGGGAAAGATTTATTTAAAAAATATGTAGAAAAACATTATGAACTTAAAAAAAATGCAACTGATCCTATTAAAAAAAATTTAAGTAAATTATTTTTAAATTCTTTATATGGTAAATTTGGTATGAGAGAGATCGAAAGTATTTTAAAAATTATGTCTGTTAAAGATGTGAATAAAATTATAAAAAATTTTAATTATTCTACATTTGCTCATTTAAATGATGATACTGTTTTAATTAAATATAGCAGTAGAGTTAACGAAAAATTAAGATTATTATTCAAAGATCAGGAAGGTAAAGCAAGTGACTTCAAAATGAATGAAATTGGGTTAGCTAAAAAAAGAGGAGTTGTATCTGCTGTACATATAGCTTCAGCTATATCATCTTATGCTAGAATGGATATCAATGAATTCAAAAATATTCCGGGGAACCCTTGTATTATGAGTGATACAGATTGTGTTGTTTTACCCCAGAAATTAGATGGAAAATATATTGGTATTGATTTAGGACAAATGAAATTAGAACAAGAAATTAAACACGGTATCTTTATAAGAAAAAAATTATATGCACTTAAAAATTCTTCTGATAAAGTTATTATAAAAGCTAGTGGTGCTAATAGTAAAAATTTAACCTTTGATGATTTTATCAAATTATTAAATGGGGAAGATGTACAAACAAAAAGATTATCCTTTAATGTCCATTGGGAAACACTTGATGTTAATATTGTTGAAAATACTATTAGCTTATACGGATTAAAGGGACAACCTAAAACATTATTTAATACTATTGATACTAATTTTAAAGCTATATCTTATCCTAAAGCTTATCCTTTAATTGTTTATTCTAACGATTCTAATCTGAAACTACATACAAAACCGATTTATCGCCTACTCAAGAGTTTTGATAGAGGACACACAGGTCCAACTGGAGCTCCAGGAGGAAAATTTGTAGATAGTCCAGCAGTGCCGGGGGTAATTTATTTACCTGCTCACACTAAATTCTCTAAAGCGGCAATATGCCGCGTAACTTTGAAAGACAATTTATAATTAATAAATTATTAGGTAAAGGATCTACAGAAATAAAATATTTTACAGGCAAATAGAATATTATCTGATATTCTTAAAATTTTAAATGAATTAAAACAACAATTAAAACCTGTAAAATCTGATAAATTTTTCAATTTTTATAGTGAGAAATGAGCTAAATTTGTTACAGTAGAATCTAAACTATTCTTCCGTTATGGAAATGAAGGAAAAGAGGTATTAACTCAACTTAAAAATATTTAAATAGTTTAGACTTTGTTGATATTTATTTTCTATTACATACGTACAGAACCTGGGGAGTTTTATGATAGAGTAGCTAAATATATAACCAAAGTTAACCAAAATAAAAAATTCAGTTATAGGGTCTATTTTGAAGAATTAACCTTTAATCTAACTATTAAAAATCTTACTTTAACTGATAATATTAATATAGAAGACAAATTAACTATTAAACATGAAATTGATATGGAGATTTCTAAATTAAATGATATTTCTCAATCGGATGATGAGGGTGAAGTTAAAGTTATTAAACACACTTGGTACACTAAATTTAAGGTTAAGATATCTCCGAACTTGGATAACCCAAGACTTAAGCCAGAAAACTTAATTTGTGTAGGTAATAAGGCTGAAGATTACATGAGGGATTATTTAAGATGGAGTATTATGCTTGATTTAAGTAATATTTAAATTACCCCCCCTCCACTCCATTAATGTATTTTTAAAGATTAAGCTGGGTTTAAGTAATAGATTGATTGGTTGAAAAATTGTTTTTGTTTTTTATTTTTTTATATTTGTTTTACTTACAGCAAGCAGGTACCTGAAACCTGAAAATCGCAAAAAATATTAACTAATAAAGAATTTAGATTTTTGAATCCCTTTAATAAATATGTCTACCATTTCTTTATTTACAAATGATTTTGGTAGAGTAGGTAATAAGTAATCTTTATTATCAATTGTAACATATTCTTTACCGTCAATTGTTGAAAATTCAGTAGCATAACTCTTAATTTGATCCATCATATTTTGGTGCATTTTTTCTAAGTAATTCCCACTGCTAAAGTATATTTTAATAAATGCATTTTTAACACTACTTTCAATAAATTCCATATTATTCGGTGTCGTAGCGAAGCAATCATGAATTGTATATAAAGGTTGATTAGTTAAGTTTTCGCAAAGTAAATGTATATTAGAGGCATCAAGTGAGTGGACTAAATTAGGCATAAAGCTGGTTTTAATTCTTCTTGTATTTAAAATTTGAGTTGGTATTGAAATAGTTACGGGTTTTCCATATGGTAATAAAGAACTAGAACTTCTAATATGATCATATTTAACATTACTTAAAGATATTTTTAACCCCGAAGGTGTAATCCAAATTACAGGCTCATTTAATTTTAATAAAATAGTTAAAAGTTCTTCTAAATATTCACTTAATACCCTTAAGGAAGGTAAATTATGAATAAGAGCTTCATATACAATAGTACCTAATTTATTTAATTCATTTGGTATAAGATATAAAGGTTCAGAATTTTTAGTTAATCTCGCCTCAACTTTATAAAATATTTTTTTTCCCTCTTTATAAACTTCAAAATGTTCTTTCATTTGTTCTTTAACACCAAATAAAGTAATATTATAAGGGATTGTCATAACAGTTTTTTTTACGATTTCTCTTGAAATGTTTATTTGTTTTAAATTATCATTATCACATTTATCCAGTTCAGCTTGCACCAGAGTAGCAGCATAAAGATAGAAATCATTTCGCATCTCCGGAGAATCAGGTAAAGATACTAGATTAGTTTTAACCGCAATATCTACTTCTCTTGTCATTGCAGAAAGATGTTGTAAACCATTACAACTAGCATCGAATAAAATAGGGTTGTTTAATATAACCTCTTTACCATTATAAAGTAAAACTAAGCATCGTACTGTAGCAAACATAATACTTATGAATTGGAAAGGTTCTTTCAATTTAGGTAAAACTTCACTATCAAATTTATCAGTATCATTTAAAAACATATCATAAAGTGTTATAACATTTTCTTTACTCCATTGAATTCTATCTTCATAGCTTAAATTTGTTTTACCATATAAATTAGCTAAGTAAAATAATAAATAATCAAATCCTTTTTCACTCAAAGGTTCATTTTCTTTATCATTAGCAAATAATAATAAAGATCTACATAGATCATCCCCTTGATAACTTAAATATTGAGTTAAAGTATAAACTCTTCCCCTGAAATCAGCAAAGGTTGGTAAATAAAAGATTGAATTTCTGTAAACTTTAGCAATATTTATTGTATTTGAATATCTCCAATATTTACTGTTATGTGACTGTTTACTGTTTCTTATCTCTTCACTATCTGATTTAGATATAACCTGTTCTTTATTAAGTCCATTAAAGAATTTACTATTTTCGTTGTACCATTCCAGTAAAATAAAGTCAAGAACATCTTTATTTATAGTAAATGCAGTTTTATTAAGATAATTAATAGTGTGATTAAGAACATATTGATTTTCAACTTGATCTCTAAGATCGTGTTTATGTTTTACTACACTATCAAATGTATTATAAATATGACTAATCTCACCATGTATATATGGTAAATATTTTCCATTTACATCTGGTTTATTAGGAATAACTAGCATGGGTAATTGTGTTACATCTATACAAGAAATATTAAGTTTTTTAATATAATCCTCACTAATAGAGATAAATACTTCTCTATTTTTAAGTTGTGTGACTAACTTTCTATCTATTAGGGAAGTTTTAGTTTCTAAGATATTCATAACAGTATCCCCAATTTCAAATTTATCAGTTTCACTATAACCATTAATAATTTCAAATATTTTATCATAAGGTAATAGTTTTAATATTTGATTAAATTGATCAATTTCTTTAACTTTATTAATTTCTCCATTATCTTTACTATCAAGAACATTATGTAATTTATTAAGTTTATAATTAGCAAATTTAAATAATTTATTTCCCATATTAAATACTAACTCAGTTCTATTAGCTTTCATAGCATCATCCGATTTATTAATTAATTCAATAATAGTTTTGAAAGATGTACTAATAATATTATCGTTACCTAAAATAAAGATAACTAATAAAGATTTTAGTTTAATTTGATCTTTGTTGTTACTATCAATATTTTCTAGACCGGATTTATCTATTAATTTACCAAACTTGAACCAATTATTTTTGGTATAAGGTAAAGTTATATATTTTAACCCTGTATCTAAACTTCTGTAAATATCATGTAATATTACAGATCTCGCTTCTAATGAATTTTTCATTTCATTAGTAAACCAGTTAAGATCATATTCTAAGGATAATTTTTCAATAGCAACTTGTTTTGTATAATTATCAAGGGTAGGGTCTTGAATAATATTATTAATTTTTAGCATAAGTGGTCCTTCAATTTTAAATTTTTCAATTCTTTTGTCGTCAAGAATTTTACTTTCGCTATCCTCTGTAGCATCAGATAAATTAATGCTATTACCTTTAATATGTTTAATCACTGATTCCAATTGTAAGACTCTTTCAGAACTAAATGACTCTAAATATTTACCTTCAGCTGTGTGATTATTTTTTAAAACAGCAGACATCGATGGGTTTTCATATTTTAAAGGATATTTTTTTAAAATTAATTCATTTACATTATATTTGTAATTTTTAAGTAAAACATCCCTTAATACATCCATATTACTAATTATTTCATGGAAATTTTCATTAGAAGTTTCCATTACTAATTTTATAATATTTTCTTTCAATGTTTCTATGTTACTTAATATTGTAACGCTAAACATCCCCTTGTATCCCGATACGCTTATTTTTTTAATTCTTTTTTTACGTCCTATACTCTGACTTTCAACTTTTGTATCTGCCCATAATTCTTTAATAATATTACCTTCAACTTTTTTTCTTAAAATATCTAAAGATTTAATTCTATGAGTTAATCTTAAAAAACGTGCTAATTTATTAATGACATTAGATTTTAATTCAACATCTTTAGTTTTAGTGATTTTATTTATTTGATCTATGAAATCATTAACTTCATTAATACTTTGTTCATTTCTATCTAAAATATCTTCATTATCAAAACTATTAACATATTCTTTAAATATTTTTTTAATACTTGCAGTTTTAATACCAAATTTTTCAATATGACTATAAAGATCATTTTTAATAATATTAATTTCTGCAATATCCACATCATTTTTAATAATTTCTAATAAAGTAACAAATCTTAATAAAATATCTTCAATATCCTCAATAATCTTATTATCTAAATTATATTTATTAAGAATATTTGTAATAATATCATTTTTAAAATCCTTAAAGATAGAGATACTATTATACTGATCAACTCCCCCCTTAGCATTATCTACCTTAATATCAGGCTCTGTACTTTTTAAAGAATTATTAATATTAATATTATTTTTATTATTAATATCAAAAAATACATCGAAACCCTGACTATTTAAATTTTTAGTATTATAACATCTAGATAAATTAATACCGTAATTATTTTTAAATTTATTTTTAATATTATTTTTGCTGAAAAATGTATAACCTCTCAAATTCTCATTAGCATTAGCATTAGCATTAGCTCTAACAAAAACTTTATCCAAATCTTTAACAATAAAGTTAGCACTATTATAATAATTATTAACACTATTATCACTATCACTATCACATTGGGTACTAAAGGTATCATCAATAGCCTTATTAATTAAAACAATAAATTGTTGGATTTTAAATAACCATTCAAGTACAGTATCGCTAGATAAAATCAATAATAAAATGAAAATACAACTGTAAATTCCCAATAAAATATTCAAATCAATATTATAATTAAAGATCCCATAAATAAATAAAATACCAAAAGGTCCAATATTCATATTTAAAAAATCCGATTTAAAAAATAACATAGCGAATCTATTCTCAATATATTTATTATTATTATTAATTCTCTTAATTCTCTTAATTAATAAAACAACAGCAAAACCAATGAAACTTATTAATACAACAGAACTAGCAAAAATAAATTCAAAATCAACAAAATCAAATAAAGAAATAAAAAATAAAACCCCGATCCCGCCAGGGGACAAAAATAAAATATTCAATTTAGAACCATTACCTCTATTGATAATAATTAAAATAAACATCTCGCTAAATCGCCAGAAAGTATTAATTATTGATCTAAAAA